ATAAATAGAAAGGAATGCGTCAAATGGATCTTGTTCAATTTTACTTGAGTTTTTTGTTCGTTCACAAATTTTCTTCCAATATCCAACTGGTAGTATGATTCGAACGAATCATTTGGCGCCATTTTTATTCATCAATGTTTACACTGTAAATTCCAAGCCTAGAGTTTTGAAGAAGGCTTTCTTGATAAAAATAGCGAACTTTTACAACCAATGAGTCCCTCACTGTTAAAGTTGCGTTTTAAGGTGGCACTGTAGCTGACAATAAAAGGAAATTCGGTAAAAATTTTTGGTTAATTATTTTTTACAATTCTTGCTGAATGACGAAGTAATTTATTAAAGTTTGAGAGGTTCTCCTACACTCTCCTACAAATTTGGAGACTTGGTTAGAAGACAGCATCTTCTCTTATATGTGAATAGTTTATCCCTACTTTACTTTGCTTTACTTTTCACTCTCTTTAGAATAAATAATGAAATCCCAACATGATCCGATTGTTCTTCATCATCGTAACGGTAAAAAAATTAAAGTTTTAACCTTCTCCTACACTCCAGTAACAAAATTAAACATTGCAAAAAACAAGATATGGTCTAGATGTGTTGTTATGTTTGTACCAACTTTACTTTGCCTTCTTATTGTGTTTCCGTATTGAAAATAAGCAACTAAAAGTACTATCAAAACCAATTAATTTTATTTTCGGATGTTTCTACAAATTTTAAATGAAATTGCATCACGAAGATAGGATTCAACTGTTTCTGTAGCAAAAGAGAATATTCTAAGAACAATACTGAATGTGTATGTAGATCACTGGTGGAAATTATGACAAGTGCTATGGAGAAAAAACAAGATGCTAGTTGTAAAATTGACGAAAGAAGTGCATAGTTTCAGAAACACAATCAACAGAAATTAATTTCCGAAAAAGAAAGAAGAAGAAAATAGATCATGGTGTTTCATGTTCCTGTACTGCAAAAGTTGTCCTTGTAAATCAGCTCGTGTGTTGTGTGGCAATGATTGTCACAAAGGACAAACAAGATGTAAACTGTTACGACTTGTTATTTTTTTTAAAATTTTGGTGAACAATGAACAATAGTGCCACCTTAATTTTCCAATTTTTAAAAGAAAAAAAATGCCACCAAAGAAGAGGAATATTAATTATGATGATGACGATGCTGATGAAAACGATAATGCAGGAAATGAGAGTTTAATTGTTCGGGAGCGATTAAATTTTGCTAACCGAAGCAGTAATGGATCATCTTCGGGTGGTGGTAGTGTAGGATCATCGAATAGTACTAATCAGTGGTGTGCTTTTAATATTGGTGATAAATCGGAGAATGATATTGAACGTGTGATGATTGCCTACTTGGAAAAGTATCACTTGCAAGATATTAGAGATATTTTGTGTCCTCCTCTCACTCTAACAAATGATGATACAATTCACTATAGTGTATTTATTGATGTTTCACATTTCATGTCTGCAAATATTGAAATTGGATCAATTTTATTATCATACCCAACAGAATTAATTCCTATTTTTGAGAGAGCACTGATTAAAACACAGCAACGTCACATTGAAAAACAAGAAGTTATGAAGGAACAATTTAAATTGAAAACATTTGTGCATGTTAGACTTCATACGTTACCACAATGTTCCGAAGTAACAAAAACATCAGTGAGATCTGTTAGGAGTTGTGACGCTAATAGATTAATTTCTGTCAGTGGTACTGTCATTAAAACAGGGCCTATCAAAATGTTGGAGTATAAGAAGATTTATATTTGTAAAAAGTGTAAAAAGNNTCATTTGATATTGTTGCAGATAGAGAACAATTTAATAGTATAACGAAACCAACACAATGCCCAATTGAAGATTGTGGAGGAAAATCATTTTTCGAGAGAGGAG